AAAAGTTTTTTAAATATCCATTATCAGGTGCAAGGGATCGTGACAAGAGACTGAACACATTTTTTCTCTAAAAAACAACAACACTGTCAGCTGTCACAAAGTCCCACGCTGAAACTTTAAATCTGTACAAACCAATCAGTAGCGTGATGATGTTGTTTTAAGAATATATACTTTGCCTTGTACTTACTGTCTGCATGTCTCCTCCAGTCGTTCTTCAGGCCTGCAGCTTGGTCCTCTACCCCATCAAGTTCATCGAGAGCATCAACCTGAGGATCTACCACGAGTTCAACTGGGGCTACGGCCTGGCCTGGGGGGGGACCATCTTCTCCTTCGGCGGGGGAATCCTCTACTGCCTCAACCCCAAGAATTATGAGGAGTATTACTAACCCCGATTCAAGCAGAGGACCTTACAGTCACATGCTGGGAGAGGTATTCAGGGGGCGAGGAGGGATTTGGGGGTATTTTCCTTTAACGGCTCAATTCCCAAGAACGGTGAGGAATACTATAAACTGGATTTGAGCCAATAACTGTATCGCCACAAGCTCCCCCCCCCGGGGAAATTCAGGGGGGTGCAGCTGGCGTTCGGGGAATTGCTTTTCGTGCCTCAGTAAACAGAAGTGTGGGCACTGAGGCTGGTGGGTATTTGAACTTACAGCCCTAACATCACCAGGTCAGCTCTGGGGAGGGGTTGGGGGGTGGAAAGAAGTCTTTCTAGTTTATGCCTATGACTTGTGACACAACAGGGAGAACTGACAACTCTGCAGTAACAAAGGATGGAGAGTTACGGTGCCGATGCATCCGTTCTTTCTTTACTGCAAGAACTACTCTTATTATGTCACTAGTACGACCCAACCTATTGATATGACTCTGTTACTTAGGAAACAGGATGTCAGACTGGGAGGCTTTTACTGCACGTTTACGCACGCATGCACATGCAAAGGCACCTGTAAACATCAAATTGTCGGGCTGGACGTCTTCAAAAATCTACTCCCCAGTCTCCTGCTCCATCAGTTCCTCATCGTCCGTGCTCAGTTAGCAGTTGTGGCATTTTGTTTTTCAGGGTTCTCTGAAGCTCTTAAACTTTCACAAGGACATGGAAGAGAATCAGACACTACAGTAGCGCTTCATAACTTTTCATAAGACAGATAGGTTCCTCTTGGGGGTAGGTAAGAGGGGGGGGGATAAAATAAAGACACCCGCTCAATATTCTGTTATCGACCCACTTGTCTGTTACCGCGGCAACCCACAGGGTGTGCACATGCAGCTGTCATGATTGATTAGCCATGGTCGGAGGTGTAAGATAGGACTGCACTCAGCTGCCTCCAAGGGTCTGCTAAATTTCGATTCCCTATTGAGCTGAATTTCTCCACACCATGACGTTCGGAGCATCCTTCCTCCTCTGGTCGACCTCCTTTTGCATCCTGTTTGTGGATAGGAGTGTCCGCTACACACACCGCGGGTAGATATGGGCTCTCAGTGGACATGTTTACAAGTACATCAGTAGTTAGGATCTGCATTTTGAGAATTGACATTCACAAAACACTAAAACTGTGACTTTACTAGACATCCCTAGGGGAATATTGCTCGGGTGCAGGTGAAAGGGAAGTGGTCTTTAGCTTTTAGTCCAGATGGAGGTAGCTGTAGTTTAGGATTGTATCCAGAATCACTGTGGTTTGCAGGGTCACAACTTAGATACTTGTGTGTCATCTTCATAAAAGTGGAAACTGATCTCATATAGGAAGGAAGAACTAAATGCAACAAATAAATTGGAATTTGCATTACATCTTTTGGTTAAATAAATGCATATGTGTTGTAAAAGCAACATTTCAGATTGTCAAAAATGACTTTAAAAAAGTACTTAACTCATAACAGGATTACTGTCAAAGACACAATTTCATAACTCTGGGGAATCAATACATTATTTTGTGCATGTAAACATAGCCACTGGAGCTGACTATTTATAAACCAGATCTGTGTATCTACTGAGAAGTTCAGGCCATGTTTCATTAACACCAAACTGCTGTCTCCTTGTCTACAGTAAATGTCAGGGATCAGCCCTGCACCCAGTGTGTGCAGATTTTAGTGGAAAACAAGCCGGGCATACATGTGTTGGCACAGGAAAAGCAAATGTCAATATCAGTCAGTGTCAAATGTCAGGAATAATGGATGCCGGGACACATACTGTAGACAAATCGTACGATTGTATCTTACATCAAAGCATCACCACCTTATAGAAAAGCTCATCTGATAATAATCACTGCTTTCATGTCCCAACATGCTGATTTGGGCGATGAGGCAGGTGATGAAGCTATGTTTTCCTTTCATTGTGCAAAAGCGTATTTATGTTTTCTCTCAGCTGAAGTGTAAATTCAACTTCCCCTGAGTGCTGAATTACTTGCCGAACCCTGTGACCTCCATTCTCCCTTCAAAACACACTGTAATTTCAAAAGTGCGCAGCGAGTCGAATGTAAAAATATGACATTTTGGAGATACAAGCGGTGTCTTGTCTGTACTTTCCATTGTTACATATTTACAGTGGAGCTGTCAAGCAACCATCACCCAAAAATAGGATCCAGGCTGCCTCCCTTGCCACCTTCACAAATGTGAACTGTGCAGTCGCCACACGACTCATGCAGCTGACAGAAGTCCATTAATTTTATATAAACTGACACGATGATGTTTACCACAGATAAAATCATCTCCTCTTTTGTTGATGAGGAAATGTATTTGTTTTTGACAGCTCTGCCTGTCACTACAACAGCCGCACTTCTAAAATCAGCTCATTCAAGTTTATTAACGACTGAGATCCGATGCTGTGGGAAGAAGATTTCCCTAACGCTTTAGATTACAGCCCTCAAATTATAGTGTTATCATTTAATATATGAAGTGTATCAATAAAATACCTACTGGTTAACAGGATGTAAGTACAAGGGAAGAAGATGGCAGGTTAGGGAATTAAACAACTTTGTGTTTACATTGAAATAAATTCAAAAGTATTTTTTGAATGACTGAGTGCCTATTTATTAATTACAGGGCACATTAACATTGTTGCTGAGTAACAAGACAGGAAAAATGGGTCATAAGGCTGATTTAAAAAAAACATTTTTAGGAAATACGCTTATTCACGCTCATGCCGAGAGTTAGATGAGAGAATCGATACCCCCTGAAACTGCAGCCATCAGCTGTATATTTTAGACTGGAAATAGGGGATAAAGCTAGCTTGGTTCTGTCCGAAGTACCTCTAATGCTTACTAATTAGAACGTTATATTTTTATTGTTTAATCCACACAGCCAGATTAGCTGTTTCCCCTTGTTTTTAGTCTTAAAACTAAGCTAAGAAAACCGGCTGCTGGCTGTAGCGTCATATTCACCATACAGACTTAAGAGTGGTATCAATCTTCTCTTCTAAATCTAAAGCTAAAAGAGAGTATTCCCCAAAATGTCCAGCTATTCATATGGTATAAATTACTGTTGCTAAGGAGAAAAGTGGCAAAAAAACAGCCAATGCAGGTTTAAAATGTACTGGGTAAAATGTGTTATCCCATTATTCTATGTATTTTTCACCTTACCAGGTCACTGGTACCCTGTATATACAAAATATTTACACTGTAATTTGTGGGCTGTAATGTACTGTAAAGTGCTACTAGGAATAGCCTTGCGGGCAGGATATGGTGGAGACTAAAGCCACTAAATTTCACTTTACAAGCCTTTTCAGGCTGACATAAACCTCATGCTGTAAATTCACAGTGTATATTCTAGTAAGTACTACTGAACTGATAGATGTGATATGAAAGTAGGGTCTTCTGAGGGGCAAAAAAAAATAAAAACCTAAACTTCAATGCTTTTATGTGGATTGTTTTTAGTGACAGGATGTGACAGTTTACCCATCGTTTTCTTTAGCACTGAGTGAAAACAGAAATAGCACTCACTGTTACAGCCATTATTCCATTAGTCATACCAGCTTTATGGGTCAGCGAGTGCTTTTCAGCATGTGACCCTGCTCTTCAGTATTTTGTCAGAAAGATGTCACAGCTTCACCGTGTTCAGCGATGGGGCTCCAGTTAATCAGTGTTTAGCTTTGTTGGGTCACCAGATTTTCTGTCAGGTCATGGACGAAGCACTTTGTGTCACCTGACTCGGTGTGCTGTTACTCCGAGCGGGCAGAGCGCAACAGAAGTCCTGACACAAGGAGGAAGTAATGACTGTAATAGAGATCATCACCACCAGTATGATATTTGATATGGCCGCTACTGTATTTAATACTGTATGATCACAGCTTAGTGAGGGTGTTTTTGCTACCTAGAAACGTCTCTGTGCTTTGGTGGTGTAGAGGAACATTAGGCACCAACACTGTAACAGACCTGGGTTAAAATATACAGGAATAATCTCAAATATCACTTTATAGATTAACAATTTGATACTTTCAAAAACAAAAACATACATACATATGCGCAGAAAATGTGTCAGCAGCCACCCTGGTATTACAGCACCCTTATTCTTAATTTACCTGCCAAACACATAAACACTCTCTAAATATCTAGCAGGGGAGATAAATCCCAGATCCAGATGCCAGATCAGATTCAGATCAAAGACTTACTGCTTTATTTCATCAGGTAGTTAAACATTGTGCAGCTGCTGTTATTGCTGTTATACTACATTTTAAAATTTGTAGTACAGAAAACAAACATACCCTAACTTCTCATAGCTGCTGCCTTTAGGAGCGAGCAGAGGCAGTTAAAGTTGCCGTGTCTTTTGATTCCTTAATTGGGAACTGAAATCAATGTCACATCAGTTGTAATTAAGAGCCTCTGACTCTAAATGACAATGCAAATATGTTTGCACCAGTTTCAAAAATGACCTACATGCTTTGATTTTTAATGAAGCACTTCAATGTGGTTCTGGGTAAATAAGATTATTTGTGTTAGGCCCCTCAGTGTAATATCCACAGGGAGCTACATGAGCTCAGTGACAAAAACACAACTGCCCTTTAATAGGTTATACTTATTATTTGTGGCCCCAGGGTGTCTGACCCATCCTGGTTCCTTGAATGTTTTAGCCCAGGTCTGACTCGTAGCTATTAGCATTTATTTGGTTATTAATTTACTGAAGAAAAGTAGAGGCTCGCAAACAGAGGCCGCTCTGTTTTATGCATCATCTCCCAGTAGACTGGAGAGAAACACTGTCTAATGATGTGCATAGGGATTTAGGAAGTGTGTATGTATGTGTGTGAATGACAGAAGAAGAGTGTCAGTGTGTTTGACAGGGAGAGGAAGAGTGTATGTGTGTGTGCATGTGTGTTGGCATGTTTTAGATGCCATTGTAGAGATGTCAGTAATCAGCATTTATCTCTTTGTACGTTGGCACATTAAAGCACTGAACAGAAAGTCTCACTCTCTGTCTTATTTTGTTGTCATGTCTTCTTTCTTTCATAATCTTTATTCAGCTCTAAAATGATTAC